TGGCTGTAATGACTAGAGCTGCACCAATCTGGAACCAGGAGCCAGGAGCCAGGAGTTTCCTCCAGGTCTCCCACGTGGGTGCAGGGGCCCAAGTGCTTGGGCCATCTTCCACTGCTTTCCCAGGCCATAGCAGAGAGCTGGATCAGAAGAGGAGCCCAAATGTGATGCTGGCGCCTCAGGCAGAGGATTAACCTGCACCACAGCACTGGTCCCTGCTCCACTTTGGATTCAGCTGCCTGCTGATGCCCCTGGGAAAGCAGTGGAAGACCTGGATGAAGCTCTTGGCTTTGGCCTGGCTCTAGCCATTGCAACCATTTGATGGAAGCCATTGCAACCAACAGATCGAAGATTTCTTTCTCTCTCTCCCTCTCCCCTTCTCTGCATTTCTGCTTCCAAATAAATAAATAAATAAATAAATAAATCCTTTTTAAAAATCTATTTTTATTTCAGAGGGAGCCCTCACTGCTGCCTCCCAGGGTGCACATTAGCAGGAAGCTGGAGTTGGCAGTTGAGCTGGAACTTGAACCCAGGCACTCTGGTGCAGGAGGCAGGCAACTCAGGTGATGTCTCTTTTATTTTATAAATTTCTTTCTTTAAAAAATATTTTATTTATTTATTAGAGAGGCAGAGGCAGAGAGAGAGAGAGAAGTCTTCCATCCGCTGGTTCACTCTCCAAATGGCCACAACGGCTGGAGCTGCACTGATCTGAAGTCAGGAGCCAGGAGCTTCTTCTGGGTCTCCCATGTGGGCACAGGGGCCCGAGGACTTGGGCCATCCTCTGCTGTTTTCCCAGGTCATAATGGAGAGCTGGATCAGAAGTGGGGCAGCTGGGACTCCAACCAGTGCCCATATAGGAAGCCACCACTGCAGGCAGTGGCTTTACCCACTGCACCACAGTGCCAGCCCCCAGGTGATGTCGTAACCACTAGGCCAAATTCCTACAGCTGGAGAGCTCTCTTTTTGAACAACCCCATCCTTTCCGACCTGCTGGGAGCTGCTTATGCATTTCTCTCCCAGAGGTCCAGCAAGGACAGTGCTGTTGCTGGGAATAGAGAGATTTGGAGTTAGGGTCACATTCTGCAGGGTTCCCCAGTGTGGGGGCCAGGCAAGGTCTGCAGTCTCTATCGTGTGTGTGGTGAGAAGAATGGAGGCCCAGCAAGGGACTCGGCCACCGAGTGCTTGGCAGAACCTAGGCCTCCTTCCCTATCCTCAGCGTCTGGGACCCTGTTCTCAGGCAGGTTCTTGAGCTGTGGGTCAGAGAGAAGCAGGGGAGGAGGCGGGGAGGGTGGGGTCGCGGGCCGTTGTACTGTGGTAGACCACCACCATCCCTAGGTGATGCACCTGCTGTGTCTCCTGCGTATCTCTTAAGGGTCCCCTTGGATTGGTGCACTGCTAGGGCTGCTGGGAAAAGCAGCCTTCCCCACCCTGCAGCTGAGGGACACAGTGGTCACCTGTGTATGGTCACCTACCAAGTGGTACTGACCGTGGTCCTCTGGGCCCGGGCATTCAGGGAGGGCTTCTGGAGAAGGTGTAGCCTGAGCTGGGTTGGAAAATTGTAGAGAAACCAACAGAGGGAAGAAATCGCAGCTGAGAGCCTGCATGGGGTGGGGTAGGGCTGGACAGCTAAAAGCTGTCTGGGTCACGGGCCAGTGGTCTCGAGTTCTCCAGCCCCTTTCTGCTCCTTCTTCCTGAGCACGGGCTCTCAAGGGCTCTCGTCTGTCAAGGTGACCTGGCTTAGGGAGAATTAATTTGTCTCTATTTTTTATTCATCAAAGAAATAAATATGCTGGTCATAGCTGCTGAGGCCAGCTGGCTGATGGCAAGGAGGGAGGGCTGGGGGAGGCGTGGGGAAGAGGAGACTGAGACCTTGCCCAGACTCCGGACACCCCCTTGCCTACAAGTCAGTTTCTCTTGGCAGCAGCTCTGAGCTCTTGGCCTAGAAAACCAGAGGGAGACTCTGGGACCCAGGAGGCAGGCCGGGTGCAGGTAGGGAGCCGGTGGCTCTAGCCCCTTGGCCTGGCGGCCTGTGACTGTTCCGGCTGGCCAGCCGTGTGGAGGGCCCACTCTGCTGCTCACTCACATGGGGCTTTCATCCCTGCAGCCAGTGAAGTGTCGCTCTTCCCTGAGCGCTGTCGCTGTCAGCGGGCAGGCCTGTGGTGCTCCCAGAACCCGGACCCAAGGTCTAGGCAGCCTGGCTGCCTCAAGTCCTAACCTCCAGGCCATCAAGGTCCTCTTAGGCAATGGGGGGCTCTGAGCAAGACATGAGCAGAACTCCCCCTGCCCCCTCCCACACACACTCTGGCAGAGACCCAAGCCCCTTCAGCCCCTTCAACAAGAGCAGCTGGTGAGGGGGGGGGGACTGTCCCCCTGCCCCAGGAGGGATAGCAGCCTCCAGGCATGGCAGGGAGATCAAAGCCTGACCCCATGTTTGGTCTTCAGAGGGTGGCACTTGAGAACCAGGGAACAGGGTTAGAAGAGCCTGTACCTGCAGAGGAGCAAAGTGGAACTAACTGGGAGAGTGTTGATAAAACCACCATCCTGTGGCCCCCACTCCTCGAGCCTGCCCTCTAGTTGGGGGAAAACATTGGTGACCAGGGTATGGTAGGGGGTGAGTGACTTTGTAAACTGGGCCTCCTAAGAGAGGACCCTTTCTGCTGTGGCCTGTCCATCTGTCCGGCAGCTGTGGCATGCCTGTGATGTCACCAAGCTGCTGCGTTGCTTGGCAACTTCCCAGGATTAGCACTCTGCCCCTCTCATCCCTGACGTCCTACCATGGGCTGATGTTGCCGTGGCAACCTGGATGGGCTTTTTGGACAGCTGTACCCAGTGTGGGAAGTGCTAGGCAAAAGCAGGGACACTAGGTGCCTCTCCATAGGCCAAGTGGGGTGCACAGCCAGACCACCCTCAACAGTGCTTTTTTGGAGGTCTCTGTCCCCTCAAAGAGCTGGGGCCACCCTTGCATCCAGGCCTCCTCAAACCCCTCCTTTCCCTATGTAATGGTCACTGAGTAACCACCATGTGGATGCTGACAAGCAAAGCAAATAAAACTGTAACATGGGAACAGGAACAGCTGTACCACAGCAGGTCTTAAAGGAGGAACAGGAGTTGGCCGGAAGTTGGTGAGACAGACGTGCTGGCCAGAGGAAGCAGAAGCCATGCAAAGGCCCAGGCACTGCCACTGAGACCTCGCTCCTCGTTTCCCTCTTGATCAGAGTGAAAATGGGGTGGGCAGTGGTTCAGCCTTTGCTCGGGCCACCCACATCCCATAGCAGATGCCTGGGTGTGAATCCTGGCTCTGCTCTGACCCAGCTTCCTGCCAATGTTCTCCTTGGAAGGCAGCGGGTCATGGCTCATGCAGTTTGTCCCTTCCACCCACGTGGGAGACCAGGTTGAACTGTGGCTCCTGGCTTTGACCTGGTCCAGCCCCCGCTGCTGCAGGCATCTGAGGAGTGAACCAGCAGATGGGAGTTCTCTGTTTATGTCTCCCTGCCTTCCCCCTCCCCACAAAAAAAGTCGAATGGCTGCCAAATGGCCAGAGAGATCGCAAAACCCCCTTAGAGACTTGTTCACAAGGAGAAGTTGCTGTCAAGAAATGAAAATGAAGCTATTTTCAGGATTCTATCACCACCCCACAGGACTGGAGATTCTGAGTATCTGCTCTACCTCTGGTATGGATAATGCAGTGGCACTGCAAGATTATTTTTTAAAAATATTTATTTGAAAGAGAGAGAGATGTATCGATCTTCTATCCCCTGGTTCACTCTCCAAATGGCTACAACAGCCAGGGCTGGTCCAGGCTGAAGCCAGGATCCGGGGTCTCCTACTTCATCGGGGTCTCCTACACGGGTGGTAGGGGCCCAAGCACTTGGACCAACCTCTGCTGCTTTTCCCAGGCCATTAGCAGGGAGCTGGATTGGAAGTGGAGCAGCCGGGATATGAACTGGTGCCCATATGGGATGCCGGCACTGGGCAGCAGCTTAACTTGCTATGCCATTAAGAAGGCCTCATGGGGCCAGTTCTGAGAAGGCTTAGTGCAGGGGTTTTCAGGTTAATTACCCTGATTTTTTTTAACCTTTTCTTTTGGTTGGTAATACTGTCCTACTTGCTTCCAGTTCCCTTACAGAAAAATTAACACTGGGATAGAGGGCACCTGTAACCTTCAGACTTCTTAATTGCTTTTTTATTTTTTAAAAAAGATTTATGCATGTATTTGAAAAGCAGATCTACAGAGAGAGAGGGAGACGGGGCGGGTGTGGTGGTGGTGGAGATCTTCCATCCACTGGTTCACTGCTCAAATGGCTGCAACCAGGGCTAAGTCAAGCCTCGTGCCAGAAGCCTGGAACTCCATCTGGGTCTCCCATATAGGTGTAGCCCCCAAGCACCTGGGCCGTCCGGGGCGGGTGTGGTGGTGGTGGAGATCTTCCATCCACTGGTTCACTGCTCAAATGGCTGCAACCAGGGCTAAGTCAAGCCTCGTGCCAGAAGCCTGGAACTCCATCTGGGTCTCCCATATAGGTGTAGCCCCCAAGCACCTGGGCCGTCCTCTGTTGCTTTCCCAGGCGCAATAGCAGGGAGCTGGTTGGGAAGTGGAGCTGCCGGGACTCCAACTGCAGGCAGGTGCTTAACCTGCTGCACCACCCAGCGTCCCCACATTCCCTAACAGTTGACCTTCAGTCGCTTTTGCTTTGTCTCCTCTTTGTCAGTGCAGGGTGCATGGGCGTGGCAAGTGAACTGTGCCTCGGGAGAACCAGACCGACCCTTGGCTCACTAGGAACTTGCAGTCCATAAATTGCCCCTATTATTCCCCCAACATGATTTATTTTTTTAAAAAGCAGGATTCAGAGTTCTCACTGCATTTGTCTGCTTTGTGTCTTTGTCTAGCAGGGTCCAGGAGGGTACTAGAGCCTGGACTTGGGAGCTGACAAGCTGACACAGCCGTGCACCGCCGCCCACGGGCCACTAGTAGGGCTGGGCTTGCTTTCTTGTAGCCGGCGGGGCGCGGGACGCCGCGGGCGCCTGGCGGGAGAGACCAAGCGCTGCAGGTGCGGGGGTGGAGACTTGGCCCCGCTGTGCGGGATGGTGTGGCCCCTTAGCAACCGACGCAACGACTCTCCCTGGAGCCAGCAGGGACACAGGGCCGCGGTGTCCCGTGGAGCGGGTAGGTGGGTGCCGGGTGCCGCGGGGGTATTGCGCGGTGAGCGCGGGCAGGGAACCTCGGTGGGGCGCAGGAGGGGGCTGCCCTCCCAGCCCGGGTCGGCAGGGCCGGGGTGGGGGTTCCTATTTCTGCCCAGGTGCTACGTTTTGAACAGCCTTTCTGTTAAGTTTTATACGAGAAGACTTCAGGAAATTTATGGGAAAATGAAAAGTTTAGTGTAAAAAAATTTGAAATTTAATGCCTTTTTTCCTAAACATGCATCTTCCACGAACTTTTTGAAAAATCACTTGTATGCTTGAATTTCAGGTTTGGTTTCAGTTGGTTTCAGGTTTGGTTTTTTATTTATTGTGCGCTGAGACGAGCTTACCTTTCAATTCCATTTTCCATGGGCATTTGAAGTACACTCTATTTACCAGACCCCCTTTCTAGGGGGCCCTCCGGAGAATGTGCACCCCCTTACCCCTTCGTGGCAGATCCCTGTAGGGAAGGGACCAAGATCTTGGGCCTTCTCAGCCCCCTACTCCATCTCCTGCTCCTGAGAACAGCTTCACCAACCACATGGGAGAACCAGGTTCAGCTCCTCGCTTCTGCCTGGCCCAGTCCCAGCTGTTGTGGGCATTTGGAGAGTGAATCAGTGGGGAAGATCTCTCTCTGTGTCTCTGTCTCTTTCTGGCTGCATTTCAAATAAAGTAACATTTAAAAATAAACAAGTCGGGAAGTGATTAAAAAGAAACCACAGCAGCATTGTTTGCCTGGTAGTGAGTCCCTGAAAGTCACGGATGCAGTAGTCGGACGAGCTTGCGCAGAACCCTGGGATGTGAGTCCGCGGCCGTGGCTTCACAGCCCTCCTGCTTAGGTCCTTCCCTGCCGCAGGCACTCACTCGGCAGAGTCCTGGGGACAGCTGGAGGTGAGGACCTCTGCTCCCATTCCGCTTCTGCTGGTTCTTCTCTGAACCTTACTTAGTTCCTTTGTTTATAAATTGGCAACAGTAGCAGTACCTGTCCTGTGAATCAAATACCCGGTGCATCTGTCCATTCAGCCAAGTGCCTGGGTGATTGAGTCACGTGGGGCTGCATGTCAGTGAATCCACCAACAATCAGCTCCCAGGTGAGCCGAGTGAGGGCAAAGAGAACTCGGCTCAGATTCCAGCTGCACCTCTTGTTGGCCATGTGTCCTTGGATAGATCACTTATCTCGCTGAGCTTTCCTTTCCCTTTGAGAAATGAGGATAGTCTCGCCGGCGCCGCGGCTCACTAGGCTAATCCTCCGCCTTGCGGCGCCGGCACACCGGGTTCTAGTCCCGGTTGGGGCGTCGGATTCTGTCCCGGTTGCCCCTCTTCCAGGCCAGCTCTCTGCTGTGGCCCAGTTGTGCAGTGGAGGATGGCCCAAGTGCTTGGGCCCTGCACCCCATGGGAGACCAGGATAAGTACCTGGCTCCTGCCATCGGATCAGCGCGATGCACCGGCCGCAGCGCACCAGCCGTGATGGCCATTGGAGGGTGAACCAACGGCAAAGGAAGACCTGTCTCTCTCTCACTGTCCACTCTGCCTGTCAAAAAAAAAAAAAAAAAAAAAAAGAGAAATGAGGATAGTCTCAGTTTCTGCCCTGGACTTTTAAATGAGATGGTGCCTGAAATAAGCCTCAGCCCCCAGTGCCATTCACTGTCCTAACACTGTGCCTGCCAGGGCCATCCCTTCCACCTGATGGCCAGCTCCCTCCTGCCAATGAGGGAGAGCACCCAGAGTGACCAGTGGCCCAGGCCCTGCCGGCCACAGCACTCCCAGGCAGAGGCTCCTGCCATCCGTGGGGCTGTGACAGGAGGCAGAGGTCTGTCTGTCTGTCTGTCACAGCTCCTGTGCACACTGGCTTGTCTCCCAAGACAAACCCTGCAAACCCACGTCCTCAAGGTGGTGGATGTGCACACAACCCAGTGGCTTCTGCTACTCCGGAGCTGTGCGAAGACAGGAGGCTGTGTGTTGGCTGAGCTGGGCTGACTGAGTGCCAGGGTGAGTGAATGCCTTTTTGTTGTTGTTGGTGGCATCTGTGGGCCAGTGGAGAGTCAGGGTCAGGATCTTGCTGGGGAGGCCCTTTAGTGCTCTGGCTCTTAGACTATGGTGGGAGGTGGAATGGGCAAGCTGGGCGAGCCAGGGCATGGCCCACTGCTTACAAGTGCTGGTGAGGCTTCATGTGCTCCCCTGGGGAGAGGCGTCCCAGTCCAGTAGGGGTGGGCGGGGGACCCCTGGGCTGCTTCTGCATTGAGTGGGAACTGCATTGAGTGCTTCTGGGCCTCCCTCCTCCCCCTGCCATGTGGCTCTCTAAAATGAGGGAGCTGGGTAGGCAGGTGCACAAGGATGCATCGGACTGGGACATGTGCAGAACCTCTTCTTGCTTCCCTCCTGGCTCTGTAGGGGTTTGTTTCTCCCACACAGCGTCCAGGGCAGGCCCCGCTGTCTCGGGGGGGATTGTTCCAGCTCCGTGTGTCAGTCCAGATTAGGATAGGAGCATTCCTTCCACTCTCCCATTCTGTAGCATCGAGGGGGGGGCATCCATAGGTCAAGGTGCTCCTGGGGGCTGAGTGCCGCTGCTCCCTTGTCCTAGGTGCTCGGGCTGGGGCAGCTCCCTGACAGCGCATGGAGAAGCCCCGCAGAGAAAGCTGCAGACCTGGAAGGGCTGCTGAGAACCCAGAGTGCAGCGGTGTTCTGAGGACCCAGGAGTCTGCTTCCAGGAGCACTCCTGGGAGCCTGGAACACAGCCTGGAAAGCACTCTTCAGGAGCAAGTACACGGGTTGGAGAATCTCCCTCCAGGCCCTGACCCCAGGTTCCCACCTTTACCCCAGCCCATGGCCCCGTCCATGCTCTCGGTCTTGGGGCCGCCCCGGAAGCCGCCTCTGGCAGGCCCTGGTAAGAAGTACCCAGTGATGAAGCAGCGTGGATTCTACTCAGACATCCTCAGCCCTGGAACCTTGGGTCAGCTTGGGGTGAGTGTGGTAGCCATCCTCGCCCTAGCCTGGGCCCTCCTTGTGGGGTCCACTTGTTCTGCCCATCTGTTCAACTAGCCCTCCACCTATCCAGCTGTCTGTCCCCCGCCCCCATCCAGTGTTCCACCCCTCCTGCTGTCCGTCCTCCTGTCCATTCAATTGTGACTTATTGGTGAGCTCCTGCTGGGTACACAGTAGAGATGAGCCACCCATGGCCTGTCGTTGTGGCTTTGTGGGGGAAATGCCCCTCGCCTGGCTTTGGTTGGAAGAGCTGAGACCTGAGGGGTGGTGGTAGTGTCTTGGCTGGGCAAGATCAGGGGTGTGGACAGTGTTCCAGGCCAGGAGAAGAGCATGTGCAGAGGCCTGGGTCCCTGAGCGAGGGTGTGGCCCATGTTAAGGAGGAGGCAGAGTGGGAAGAATAAGTCTGGGGCAGGAGGGAGATGGGGGGCAGCGACCAGGAGAGTTCACAGCCCATGGAGTCCCTGAAGGGTTTTAGGCAGGGCAGGGGCCTAGAGAGACAGGGCAGGGACCCACCACACCCACCACACACCACTCACTCTATGCTGCCAGAAAGGCTCTTGGGAGAGGAAGTACACGTGGAGATACCTGCTGGGAGTGTTTGAGAAGAGCTGTGCTGGGTCAGAGTGGGGTGTCTCAGGTCTCCATAACTTGGCTCCTGTGGGCTTTGAATGTGAGGAGCTGTGTGAGCTTGCTGGTTCTGTGCCACCCTGTTCTCCCTCGTGGGCTTTGGGGAGATGCCTGGCCTTGGGGTCTCCCACATCCTGTCTGTAGGATGCTTTTACACTCAGGGCTCTGGGGTTTGGTTTCAGAATGTATGCCGTGGCCCTTCTGTGAACCAGAGCCTGCTACGTCAGGGTGACCTTGACAAGTTCACACCGAGAGGTCAGTGCCCAGTGTGGCTGGGTGGGCAGGGCCTCTTGGGGTGGGCGTTTGGCCTCGTATTAAGATGCCATTTGGGATGTGACATCCAATTAGAGTGCCTGGGTTCGCGTTCCAGCTCAGCTGCTGACCCTAGCTTCCTGCTGATGCTGACCACAGGAGGTAATGGCTCAGATAACTGGGTTCCTTCCGTCCACATGGGACACAGGGATTGAGATCCCAGCTCCTGGCTTTGGCCTGGCTCAGCTCCAGCCGTTGAGGCATTTGGGCAGTAAACCAGTATATGGGAGATCTCTCTCTGTTCATCTGTCTCTCTGCCTCTCAATAATAATAATAATAGTAATAATTTCAAACAAGGACCAGGGCTTCTGACCACAGGGAGTTGGTGTGCTCCTGGCTCAGAGCACCAGTTCCCTCAGCAGTGACATGGGGAAGAGAGATTCGCTGCTTTGCGAGGGTTTGTGAGTACCCATGAACCAGAGCCTCTTTGTCATTGGCCTTAGCAGAGCTGTGACTAGAGCGCCGCACTGGCCTGGGACTGTGACGGCCAAGGACCCCTGCCTGGCTGGGGTCAGTAGGGCATTTATGCTTGTGTTCTGCCTCTCCTGGGACTTGGGCATGGGGAAGGCTAAGACGCTGTGTGAGTTGCTCCCTGCAGGAGCCCCAGCACAAGTGGGCACCCAGGAGATCTTTGCTGGAGGGAGGGGACCCTCCTCTGACTCTATGGTGAGGCTCAGAGTGCAGCACGAAGGCCATGACAGGTCTAGGAAGCCCCCTGCGGCAGAGGGGAAAATGGTGGCTGCAGGAGAGGCCCTGAGTGGCGGGAGGTGTTGGGCAGGCGTCCTCTCATTATGGTTGCCCCCTTCCAGCAGAGCCAGGTGCCCCTGTGCTCCAGCCCTGGGAAGGCCTGGCTGCTTCCCAGCACTGCCTAGATCAGTTCTGAAGTCTGCAAACCCCTAAACTGGCACAGGCAATGTCACGAGTGTGTGCATTTGTGTGCTTCTCTGCAGATCTGGCCTGTAGTGTTCCCCAGTCTCGCAGGCGTCTGTGGCCTAGCCAGTGCTTACAAACCGCGGCTCTTGTGGTTGGGCTATCGGAGATGCTAGAAGCATTTCAGATCTTGGAGGACTTCAGATTTTGAATTCTCAGATTGGGGATGTTCCACCTGTCACTGGGAATGGTGCTGCTGCCATCCTTGTTGGGTGGGAGTAGGTGTAGCCAGCAGCCTGGCAGCTCCAAAAAGCTACAGGGTGGTGTCATTCAGGCCGTTGGCAGCCAGCTGTGGAACTCCACCCTGCTGCCTGAGGGTAAGCGGCATGCTCTAGCGGCCTGCCCAGGGCTCCTGGGTGCAGCAGGGGCTGGATGCCAGGCCCTGCTGTCTTCACCCTGGCCTCCTCTTTGGCCTCTGGGAAACTCCTGGGACGGGTACAGGTTATTAGGGGTCTGAACATGGTGTTCTTGGCTGAGCTGTCTTGTTGCTGTGGGGTTCCCTAGTCCTGGCAGCCCCGGTCACAGAGTGAGCTTCAGCTCAGGGCCCAGGCTTGCATACGGACCCAGGTGCAGATTCTGGAGGCTTGGGTGGGGCCCCAGAGGCTGCTCCAAGGTGGGCCCTTCTGCAGTGTGACCACCTCTTGACCCTTAGCGAGGTGGCGAGGCCAGGGAAGGAGGTCATCAGGGCCTCCCAGGGACCCTGGGACTCTGGACGCTTCTTCCTCCATGACAGTGGCTAGGGCCCTTAGGATAGGTGGCTCATCTCCTCCTGGAGCGTGTTCCTACACCCTCTTTCCCCACTCCAGGGGCTCAGTCTACCTGGGACTTCTCCTTGCTCCTCAGCACCCTGTGTCTTGGAAACCCTCAGTCCTTGGCAGGGTGCTGTGGTCGACTGTCCTATCTGTGGGTCTCTGCCCACCAACATCTGCCCCCAGGCCTGGATCTCAGGCTTCTTTCTATCCTAGTTGTCAAAATAGGGGTAGCTGTTTGGTGATGTTGGGGTTACCAGACCACCTGTTCCTAGGGTACCTGGTATGTATCGAGCCTGGAACTGGCCCCTGGGAGTGAATGGTGTTTAGGATCCCATATGCTGGGGCAAGGGAGGGGGGCTCCAGGGTAGTGGTGGTGGCACCCTTCCCATGTTGCTTCCTGTCCAGTGTGAACCCTTACTGGGAGTTTAATTCAACACCTGGTTTCAGTGGTGGCTCCTGGTGCTGGAGATATGAGTGACTTGCAGGGGCACGGTCAAGCATGCTGGCCCTGGACAGGGAGCACTGGGCAGAAGTAGACTTGCTGAAGGCCCTTGCCCCTCCAGGCTTGGACCCCCTTGGGTGCCTCGTGCCACATTTGTCTGTTCCCCAGCACTGCTTAGCCACAAGTGAGCTCTGCAAAGCCTGCCAGCCTGGTACCCACCTGGTGTTTTGTCTTCTTGAGAGAGGGGGTCTCTGGTGTCCAGCCTGAGACCCACAGCCCCTGCTTCTGCCTGCAGTCAGTACCTTTAAGATGCCAGAGGACTTTGAGGAGCGCATAAATCAGCAGTGCATCGGGCCCACCACGCAGCTGCTCACCCAGACTGACTTCCCACAGCAGGCCTATGAGCCCAAGGTGCAGGTGCCCTACTGGGTGCTTCCCGGCCAGTGCCCCCGCAAGCTGGAGATCGAGAGGTATGACTGGGGGTCTGTCCGAGTGAGGGTGTGAGCCTCTACAGACAGCTGAAGCGAGGGGTGCCACAGCAGAATCTGCAAGCACTTAGATAAAATCTTCCAGCCTTTTAGCCTCTTAATAGAACAGACCACGTTCTTGCTTGGTAGTTAGGGCAGGTGACATTTTGGTCGATGAAGTGGCACTTGTGGGGCAGGACAGGAGGGCAGTAGGAGCCCATGACATTAGTCCTGGATACTACCCCACTTCTCAATAAGTCCCAGAGGAGAAGAGGGCCCCAGAGGAGTCCATGAGCCATGCCTGCACCGTCATGAACCCTGGGACTCCTTGCCAGCACCCAGGGGTCCATTCTAAAATTCCCTCCCTGCCCTTGACCAGGAGGAAACGGCAGTACCTGAGCCTGGACATCGAGCAGTTGCTGGCTAAGGAGGGCATCGACTCCAACAAGCTCATGCCCAGGCACCCGGACCCCCAGAGCCCACCTACTGCCCAACAAGGCCAAGAGCGGGTGTATCCCACCTATCTCCCCCTAAAGGTGAGCCAGGCCTCCACAGACGGCTGTAGGACTCGGCACTGCAGGGTTGGGGGTACGAGACCCCAGCTCAGGCTTAGGTATTGGACTAGAAAGGGCATCTCCATGCCGGTCGCAAGTGTTCACTCATCAAACAGGATAGGAAAGACCTGATTCTCAGCTTCTTCCCCGGGAACTGGGGCAGCCTGTGTGCCTGACCCCATCCCTGTCACACTGCAGGCCTAGAAGAAGCCCAGTTGGACTGTGGCGTACCGGACTCCCTAACCTGGCCCTGCCTGGGTGTGGGAAACTTTTTCCTGGTTCACTGAAATGGAGAGACCTGGGATGGAGGAGGCACCAGTCCCAACCCTGGGGAAACGGAGTCTGAGGCAGAGAAAGAAGGAGCATAGCCTGGCTGTGGACGTCACTCCATCCCTCCCCTCCTCTTTCTGGCCCTAAGTCTCTTGTCTCGTGGCCCAAGTGGGGAGGTAAACTGAGTCCAGCTGCCCTGCACGCTGCTAAGGGCTGCCTCCTCACAGCCCTATGTCCCGATTGTTCCTCAGGGAGCGTGAGGGCCCCGTCCCCTTGGGCTGGAGCTGGGCAGTCCCGGCCAGGAGGAGAGTGAACCCATATCGTGCCTGATCCTGCCAGAACCTGTGCATTTGTGGGAGTAGCAGAGGTGGTGGCAGCCCTGGTCCCCAGCCTGCAGTGCCTTCAGCTGGGGAGGAGGCCACCTGGGCACTTGAGTCTCCTGGTACATCCTGCTGCCTGGCCTTGCCACCCCCGGTGCTTGCCTTGCAGGTGTTTGACAATGAGGAGTTTGACTGCCGTACTCCCAGAGAATGGCTCAACATGGGTTTGGAGCCGGGGTCTCAGAACCGGAAGCCCGTCCCTGGAAAAGCCCTGCTGCCCACCAACGACCTTCTGGGGCACGGTGAGCAGGGCCAGCCCAGGGGTGGGGGCAGCGGCCTTGCCACAGACTCCTGGGCTCCCGTGGGAACTGAGGGTCCTCCTGAAGCCTCCCAGCTGGGAGCTGGCCACAGAGACGCAAGAGCTGCGGGGACCAGGCATGGCATTGTCTAGAGAGCTGGATCATGTCTATAGTCTCAAAAAAATGTTTGTCTGGTGATAAAAATATACACACTCCCTGGAAATTTTGAGACGTGCCTGCGGGGCGCAGTTGGAGCCTTCCACCCGACGTCACCAGTGCTGTAGCTATAGTGGCCTGTCACCTGCGGCCTCTCCATGGACAACACGTGCAGTCTTACAGTTGCATGCAGACACACACAGACATGCAGTGACACACACACATATACCCTGACTGCCACCTGTTCACAACCCCTAAACACGGATCTGATGCCCCGTGGATTTGCTCACCGAGTGTCCTGCCCCCTCTCTTGGCCTCAAGGCTGCCCTGCTGGCCATGGAGGCTCGCTCCAGTCTGTTGCTGTTGGGAACAGTGCTGGGGAGCCCCCAGGGCTGCTGGCCAGCCTGTGAGCCCGGGTCCTGGTGCAGGCATCTGAGAAAGGCCTGGCTCCTAGTTTGGAGGTTGGAGGTGGGTGCTTCCCCATCCAGGGCTGAGGGCTGTTTTGCTCCATGCCTGGCAGGCCGACGTGATGCCATGGAGTGGGGGGTAGCAGTGACTGGTTTTAGAATTGCACAGCCTCTGGGTAGGGGTGGAGGGGTGGCCCAGCAAGTCCATTGAGCAGGGTGTAAATTGATGTTTCATTTAAAAAAGCATGTTAATACTGGAATCAATTTCTCTGAACTAGACAAGGAGCCCAGAATGTTCCCTTCACTTTGGACTTAATTACAAAAATAATTTAACTCAATTGTTCCCAGACCTCCAATTCCTGGTGATAAAACCAGAGGTTTGGGGCCGTGTTAACCTTAAATGCACTGAGCAGCAGCCACCGGCGAGGCACCTCTGCTCTCATCCTTGGCACAGGCCCGGGCCTGGGTGGTTGGCACCAGAGGGAGAGGGACTTGCAGGGAACAGTGCTGCCAGAGACCCCCTCCTCATTCCCCAGGGGCTGCTTGTGTGACATCTTTTTCTCTAAGTTGAGCCAAGACAAGATCAGTGTTTTCAGAAAGGAAACTTGGTAGCAAGGGAAGAAAAAGGCAGACAGAACCCGAGCAAGTCAGGTCTACAGCAGCAGCCTCAGCCGCAGGTCAGGGAGCCAGCCCTTCCTCCTTCCTATGCCCAGCTGGAGCTGGGAGCCCAGCAATTTGTTTTCAGCCACTGTGTATTGAGGCCTAGCTCTACTGGGTACCACATGTGTGTGTCTTCCCTCTACAACTGTATATTGGGCACTTAAATACCAGTTTCCATTCTAGGTCCCTTGGGGGAGCTGACACTAGTGTGAGGAGGCTGACCATGAACCAGGACATGATGCACACATAGTGTGACTTTGGGTGCTGTGAGGGGTGCAGACCAGGTCACAGGTCAGAGTGCCTGGGGCAGAGCAGCTACCTTAGGCGGAGATGCTTCTGTAAGCAGAAGCCACTTGAGCGGGGAGCACACCGACACTGAGGTGACCAAGAGTGTTCCAGGTAGAGGGCACAGCCAGTGCCAAGGCCCTGAGCCCAGAGCCAGCTTGGAAATCACAGAACTAGGTTGACATCCAGTGTGGCTGGAGAGAAATGAGTGAGGGGCAACAGCAGGAGTGGGCAAAGGCTTTCAGTCAGTCACTAGGTGGGAGCCCTCCTCACCCAACAGGGCACGGCAGGACGGGGGTCTCCTGCCCTGCCCCCTGGCACTTCCCTGTTCTGACATGAGGGTCCCAGGGCTTCACTGCCAGGGAGGGCTTTCCCTTGGCCTCAGTAGCCTTGCAGGGGTTTGGCTTCCCTATAACAACCTTCCACAGATTTCCTGTCTGCTGGGGGCTTTCCTGCGTCCCATCCCAGCCCCACTGGCCCGTGTCTGAGGGTCATGCCAAGCACCAGGGTGGAGAGGCCTGGTCCTCCCGGTTCCTCCTGTGGCCGGGGGTTCCTCAGAGGCTAGCTCGTCTGGGAGGAAGCAGAGCCCTGGGGTGGGAGAGGGTCACCTGGGTAGGGGAACAGGCAGACCAGTGACCTCCGAGGTCCATTCGCAGCACCTGCTGCCACACTCAGAGACCCTGGCCTTCCCCATGACAGGAAGCACTGGTGGGTTCCCCCTTCTGTTTCAGAGGACCCCAAGAGTCCAGAGCTGGAATATAAATGGTGCGAGGTCGGCGTCCTGGACTATGACGAGGAGAAGAAGCTGTACCTGGTGCACAAGACAGACAAGAGAGGTCTGGTGCGAGATGAGATGGGGAACCCCATCGTGAACGGAGGGGTCACCGCAGAAGGTATGAGCTTGCTGCCAGCTCAGCTCCGAAGTCCGCCTGGGCTGGCTTGCCCTGTGGTGGCTGGCCGGCAGGTGACCAGTAAGAACCAGCAGGCCCACCACTCAGAGACCCCAGGCAGGGCAAGTAACTGTTGTCGGTGTGTCACCTCTGAGCGGCGGGCAGTGCCGTGTTTAGCAGGAGGTAGAAAGGGAGTCCAAGGCCCACGACGCGTGCCCTGCCTGTGATGTGGAGGAGTGGCACAGCTCCTCACAGTTCACACGGTATTTCCATGTCCACCCAGGACACCCTGTGAAGTGTAGTAGGGAAGGGAGGGGGCAGGGAACAGTGTCACACCCATTTCACAGAGAAGGCCAGCGGCTAGCTTCCGGCCCCGTGTGCCAGGGGCACCATCAGCTGGCGCGCGTGGCTCCAGATCCGCAAGCCTGACTGTGTGTCCCCTTCTCCCCTGGCCCCTAGGAAGGCCACCGCTTCTGATCTGTCAGTACTGGGTGCCGCGGATCCAGCTGCTCTTCTGTGCCGAGGACCCTCATGTGTTCACCCAGCGCGTGGTCCAGGCCAACGCCATGCGCAAGGACACGGAGGCGCTGCTGCGATACAACCTGTACGTGGACTGCATGCCCTGTGACGGCCAGCAGCTCATCAGTGAGCAGAGCCTGAGCAGGATCAAGCAGTGGGCCATGAGCACCCCCCGGATGCGCAAAGGGCCCCGGTGAGTCCCTGCCTGGCCCGCCCCAGGTCAGACTTTGCCTCCTCCAGGCAGCCTCTTTGTGTGGGCTGGTCTTGTCCACCGCACTCTGCACTTGTTGAGGCCCCAAATGACTCCAGATCCTCCGTGTCCACACAGACCCACAAATTCTTTTGTTCAAAACATTGTAATGCATTGCGACGATTTTACATTTTGATGCTCACGTGACCCTGGATTTGGCCCGCGGGAGCGTCTTGGGGATGCCTTCTGTGGCCCCCTGACCAACCCTTGTTCTCTGAGCACGTCCTCACTTTGTGGCACAGCAAGAAGTTCCAGGCTCATCTTGTACTTCCTCAGATCCAGCTCTGAAATGAGCGGCTTCTCTCCAGGGGGCCCTGGTTCTGTTTAGTGGGGAATGGTTTTCAGAAGCAGAGATCTGGGAATTCGATGTGCTCATTGCTACTGGGAAATCACTGCTTTGAGTCTCTTAGCGCAGACAGATCTGGAAATAATATCACACTATCTTATATTACGTTATGTATCCTTCACACGTGTCTATGTCTGGTGCTTTATCTGCCGATCTACTTGTCAAAAACCATGAGTTTCTACTGATAACTCATTTTCACCTTCATGTCTCTGTCACTCCCTTCTCTGGAAGCAAGCTGGGTGCTGTTGGTCACCGTAGAGTGACCTAGGAGGCAGGGTAGTTCTGAATCGCTAATCCAGGCTCCTCAGAGCAGCACCTTCGGGTAATCTGCTTTCAGTGTTTCTGAGATGTATAGTCCTGCATTCAAAAGTTACGTGATTTCATTTCTCCCACCTGCTCCACCATGCTATTTTCTTTGTTGTGTGAAATACATCTTGGCTCATTTCTCTTTGTTTTTCCTGTATTATTGTACAAATGAGCAGAGACATATTTCAGACACATGTATGTTTTCTAATATATGAAGAGTAGCACACTGTAGATGTTCTCCTACACCGTGCCTTTTTTTTTTTTTTTTAAGATTTACTTTATTAAGGGCTGGTGCTGTGGCATAGTAGGTTAAACCTCTGCCTTTAGTGCCAGCATCCCTTATGGGCACTGCTTTGTATCCTGGCTGCTCCTTTTTCGATCCACATCTCTGATATGTCTTGGGAAAGCTACAGAGGATGGCCTAAGTGCTTGGACCCCTGTACCTGCAGGGGAGACCTGGAGGAAGCTCCTGGCTCCTGGCTTTGGATCCACCCAGCTCTAGCCATTGTGGCCAATTGGGGAGTGAGCCAGTAGATGGAAGATCTTTCTCTCTGTCTCTCTTTCTGTAACTCTCTCAAATAAATTTTTTTTAAAAAAAGGTTTATCTTTTAAAAGAGTCAGAGTTACAGAGACAGGTCTTCCATTTGCTGGTTCACTCCCCCCATGGCTGCAAAAGCTGGTGCTGGGCCAGGCTGAAGCCAGGAGTTTAATTTGGGTCTCCCACATGGGTACAGGGTCCCAAGGAATTGGGCCATCTTCTGTTGCTTTCCCAGGCCATAGCAGAGAGCTGGATTGGAAGCAAAGTGGCTGGAAGCCGAACTGGTGGCCATATGGGATGCCAGCATCTCAGGCAGTGGCTTAACCTGTTGTGCCACAACACTGGACCCATACACCTACAATACATCCGGAAATCAGGCTCTATCAGTTCGTTGAGATTTGCTTCATTGCTTTTTTACAACTGCATAGTATTCCTTTGTGTGGGTGTGTTGTCATTTACACAACCATTCTCTGATATATGGAAATTTGGGTCATTTCCAGTATCTTGAAATTATAAACAATGTGCCATTGAATAATCTTGTACATTTATATTTTTGTATTGATAGAAGTGTAGCTTTTGGGTAATTTCTTAAAAAACTATTTTTAAAAAAGATTTATTTGAAAGAGTGGGAGAGCGAGAAAGAGAAAGAGATATTCTAATCTGCTGGTTTATTCTCCAAATGCAAACAGGCCAAAACCAGGAGCCAGGAACTCCATCCAGGTTCTTCCACATGGGGTAGCAAGGGCCCAGGTACATGGGCCATCTGCTGCCTCTCAGTCACATGAGCAGGAAACGGTATCAGAAGGAGAGGTGGGACCCAGTCCCAGGCGCTGTGATATGGTGTGTGGGTGCCCCGAGTGGCAGATTAACCTGCTGCATGTCCATGCTCACCCCGTGCCTAAGTTCTTTTTTTTTTTTTTTTTTGACAGGCAGAGTGGACAGTGAGAGAGAGAGACAGAGAGAAAGGTCTTCCTTTGCCATTGGTTCACCCTCCAATGGCTGCTGCGGCCGGCGAGCTGCGGCCGGCGCACCGCGCTGATCCGATGGCAGGAGCCAGGAGCCAGGTGCTTTTCCTGGTCTCCCATGGGGTGTAGGGCCCAAGCACCTGGGCCATCCTCCACTGCACTCCCTGGCCACAGCAGAGGGCTGGCCTGGAAGAGGGGCAACCGGGACAGAATGCGTCGCCCCGACCGGGACTAGAACCCGGTGTGCCGGCGCCGCAAGGCGGAGGATTAGCCTAGTGAGCCGCGGCGCCGGCCAGTAAGTTTTGAAATCAGGAGATTTTAGTCTTCCAACTTTGTTCTTTATTTTCAAAATTGTTTGGGGTATTTGGTGTTCCTTGAGGTTCTACGTGAGTTGTAGGATGTATTTTTCCGTTTCTTTCTTTCTTTTTTTTTTAAAAGATTTAGTTGTTTATTTGAAAGGCAGAGTTACAGAAAAAGGGAAGAGAGACAGAGTTAGTTCACTCTTCAAAGGTCTGCTAGTCCAGGCTGGAGCCAGGAGCCAGGAACACCCTCTCTGGGTCTCCCACTTGGTTGGCAGGGGCCCAAGCACTTGGGCCATCTTCTGCTGCTTTCCCAGGTGCATTAACAGGGAGCCATATCAGAAGTGGAGCAGTCGTGCCTCAAACCAGTGCTCATATGGAATTGCTGACATCATGTGCAGTGGCTTAACCTGCAGCTCTACAACAGCAGCCCCAGATGTCTGTGTTTCTGCAGTGTTGGGATTTTGATAATGTTTTTGCTGGGAGGCAGAAACTCAATCCAGGCCTCGTACGTGGATGGCAGGGACCACTTGAGCCATCACTGCTCAAGTGTATTAGCAGGAAGCTGGAGCTGGAAGTAGAGCTGGGACTTGAACCCAGGCACTCCATATGGAATGCAGGCTTCCCAAATGACATTTTAACTGCTATGCTAAATGCTCACCCCATGTTTTGTATATTTCTTGTTGAGTATATCTTCCTTCTTTAAAGCAAAAATGAAACTCAGGCTGCGCTATGGTGTAGTGGGTGAAGCCACTGCCTGCAGTGCCAGCATCCCATGTGGGTGCCGGTTCTAGTTCCGGCTGCTCCACTTCTGATCCAGCTTTCTGCTATGGCCTAAGAAAGCAGTGGAAGATGGCCCAAGTCTTTGGGCCCCTGCACCTGTGTGGGAGACCGGGAAGAAGCTCCTGGCTCCTGGCTCTGGATTAGTGCAGCTCCAGCTGTTGCGGCCTTCTGGAAGTGAACCAGCAGATAGAAGACCTTTCTCCCTCTCTCTTTCTGCCTCTGGCTCTCTGTAACTCTGCCTTTCAAATAAATAAATCTTAAAAAAACTTTTAATTTATTTTTTTTATTTTATTTTTTTTATATTTTTTTTATTTTTTTTGACAGGCAGAGTGGACAGTGAGAGAGAGAGACAGAGAGAAAGGTCTTCCTTTTGCCGTTGGTTCACCCTCCAATGGCCGCCACGGCCAGCGCGCTGCGGCCGGCGCACCGCGCTGATCCGATGGCAGGAGCCAGGAGCCAGGAGCCAGGTGCTTTTCCTGGTCTCCCATGGGGTGCAGGGCCCAAGCACCTGGGCCATCCTCCACTGCACTCCCTGGCCACAGCAGAGAGCTGGCCTGGAAGAGGGGCAACCGGGACAGAATCCGGCGCCCCGACCGGGACTAGAACCTGGTGTGCCGGCGCCGCAAGGCGGAGGATTAGCCTAGTGAGCCGCGGCGCCGGCCAGTAAGTTTTGAAATCAGGAGATTTTAGTCTTCCAACTTTGTTCTTTATTTTCAAAATTGTTTGGGGTATTTGGTGTTCCTTGAGGTTCTACGTGAGTTGTAGGATGTATTTTTCCGTTTCTTTCTTTCTTTTTTTTTTTAAAGATTTAGTTGTTTATTTGAAAGGCAGAGTTACAGAAAAAGGGAAGAGAGACAGAGTTAGTTCACTCTTCAAAGGTCTGCTAGTCCAGGCTGGAGCCAGGAGCCAGGAACACCCTCTCTGGGTCTCCCACTTGGTTGGCAGGGGCCCAAGCACTTGGGCCATCTTCTGCTGCTTTCCCAGGTGCATTAACAGGGAGCCATATCAGAAGTGGAGCAGTCGTGCCTCAAACCAGTGCTCATATGGAATTGCTGACATCATGTGCAGTGGCTTAACCTGCAGCTCTACAACAGCAGCCCCAGATGTCTGTGTTTCTGCAGTGTTGGGATTTTGATAATGTTTTTGCTGGGAGGCAGAAACTCAATCCAGGCCTCGTACGTGGATGGCAGGGACCACTTGAGCCATCACTGCTCAAGTGTATTAGCAGGAAGCTGGAGCTGGAAGTAGAGCTGGGACTTGAACCCAGGCACTCCATATGGAACGCAGGCTTCCCAAATGACATTTTAACTGCTATGCTAAATGCTCACCCCATGTTTTGTATATTTCTTGTTGAGTATATCTTCCTTCTTTAAAGCAAAAATGAAACTCAGGCTGCGCTATGGTGTAGTGGGTGAAGCCACTGCCTGCAGTGCCAGCATCCCATGTGGGTGCCGGTTCTAGTTCCGGCTGCTCCACTTCTGATCCAGCTTTCTGCTATGGCCTAAGAAAGCAGTGGAAGATGGCCCAAGTCTTTGGGCCCCTGCACCTGTGTGGGAGACCGGGAAGAAGCTCCTGGCTCCTGGCTCTGGATTAGTGCAGCTCCAGCTGTTGCGGCCTTCTGGAAGTGAACCAGCAGATAGAAGACCTTTCTCCCTCTCTCTTTCTGCCTCTGGCTCTCTGTAACTCTGCCTTTCAAATAAATAAAT